GGGGAGGGGAGGAGAGGCAGAGTCAATTTAAGTTCATCGGGTCCCTCATATTTTCAGCTTAAAAAACAGAACAACCACCACCACCACCACCAACGGTCGATCCGGGCGCCCGCTACCCCCCACCCCTCCCCAGAGGGAGCTTGCGACTCCAATTTCCAAACAAATGTAGTTCGCTGCCTTTAAAAAAAAAAAAAAAAAAAAAATCATATTCGTTCTTTTCCTCTAGATTTTTGCTGCAGTCTTGGAGAGTATCATCGTCCGTTTCAGGCTACGGAATACAAAGGGATGCAAAACTCCTGGTGTGGCGGGTATCTGGTCTTCGTGGACCTGTTGGGACCTCCTGGGTTTTTAAAGGACAAGCGCCTGATAAGAGGATGCGGATCTTTGAAGCCAGATGAGGGGTATTTCAAACGCAAAGCAGTGTCGCTGAAATGACCAGGAGCCCCTAAGGGGGGCGGGCCGTTCTCCCCATGCTTGACGCCAGCCTCTGCATGCATGAAGAGAGAGCAGCTCCGGAGGGTGGGCGGGCGTGGAGAGGGTGGGGAAATGGGAAACCAGCATGCCACAGGCGGGGGCAGTCAGATGGGAGGAGAAAAAGCTGGTTTCTTGGGAGGAATAAGAGGAAAAGCAGTCCCATTTGTCCCTGACAACCTATTAGGATTTTTATCGCCTTGTAAATATGGGAAGTGGAGCCCAAGGTTACCTTGATTTCTGGGAACAGTAATAAGTGCAGTAGTGAAACCCTGATTACCACAATTTCATTATGTCCATCAATTAATCGAATCAGTTTGAATAAATCAAGATAAGCAATTCCAGAGACTGAAATTCACTCAAGGTCCCTGCCATGTAACTTTCACCTCTAATAATTTCTTATTTCTTCAAAATTCTGGCTATCCTCATTAATTCCATGTCTTCTATTCTTTTAGATAATCAAGGTTTCACTGATTTAGCAGAATGTTAAATAGAACCCAGGGAAATTAAAACAACAACAAAGACTAAAAGAGCCAAGAACACTTCCCAGCAACATATGCTGCTGACGTGCTTACATATAGAACCACTCTGGGATGGGAAGTGGGGGACAGAGCAGAAAAAGCAGCTTTTAATAAATTGTAGCATTTTCATTTTTAAAAAATGTCATGATGAAATTTCCCCAGGGATGTTGCGTGAATTATACACACACACACACACACACACACACACACACACACACCCCTAATATAACTATGAAGTAAAAAATACTACAGAAAAAAAAAACAACCGTCACCCTCCAAGTAGTAACGCAATAGAGAATGTCACCTTGTCTATTGGCCATGTTCCATAGGTATCAACTTCAAGAGATGCTTTTGGCACACAAACATGCTAATGCTCTGAGAAAGATGATGGTGGATACTCACAGGGTTCATAACCCAGTGCCCTCAACAGGCTGCTGTTTTACCATCTTCCTTGACACTCCTTGGTGACCTCTCATGGTTGCATATTGTACTGGTATAATTTTCAAATGTAGCCATACTTGCCAACTGTAAATGCCAGAAGTGACTATTACGGCCCACTAAATACTTGAGGCTCAAAATATTGATATGCAAGGCAGTATTCTATGGAGTCTAATAATTATATAAGCCACCTCTTCTTGAGTGGCTTAGAAATCATGGCTCTTAGACCCAAATGCTCATATTTGATGAGTCACCAAATGCTAGTATTGGATGAGTCATGGTTAAAAATGTCAAGATTGGTGGCTGTGAAGCCAAGTCCACAGGTGTAATAGAGTGGGTAGCCTTGTGGTCAAAACTGATAAAAGTTATTGGTTTTTGACTGTAGTTAATTTGGAAAGCATATAGAGGTTCTCAGGATTTGGTTTTGCTTACATTCAAGAAATATCTGTTTAATTGGGGCAACATGGAATAAACAGATCCAAATAATTGTTTCCACTTAAAGTAAAAGATTCTCCACATTTCTTGTTCTAGGCAGCAGACTGCTGAATGGGATATTTCCTTTCATTTGGGTACTAGAGGGAGGGAAATATCTGTTCCATCAATATCGATAATTGCTTGCCTTGAATAATTGAGAAGAAATCAATAGTTAATTAAATATCACTCCTCTTCCAAAAAAAAGCTATTTTTCTTCTTCTTGGAATGGAATGTAAATCAGTTGTTGAACAGAGATTTCTTTTTTTCAAGGAGCTGGTGATTAAGTTACAATTCAATATCTTTCTTACATTTAAATAATTACTAGTTGATTTTGATGGTTGTGAGAAATTTAATAAATATACTAGGAACAGATGTAGCCCAGGATTAATAATTTCATGGAAAGGGGAAATTTAGTTTCATAAGAGATAGACAAAAATGAAACCTAGAATATTTTTCATTGCTTTAGAATTCATTATAAAACCCATAACATTTGTTCTCTTGCTTGAGCTATTTCTGCAACAAATATAGACCTTTAACTTATACAGAATGCTCTCTAACTGTTGGAATCATATGCTAGAAGCACATAGAAACCTAACTACAGATCTTACCCACCCTTCATAAACTCATGATCCATCTTCATGTGATTTTGAACTAAAGTTGTGGTGATTAATGAAGAAACTAGTTATCTAAATATCACTGAGTTCTTCTTCGGCGTGTAAAACCTTGTACTAAACCCCAACGAAGAAAATCAAAGAAATAGAATGCATAATTTCTGTTCTTAGGGCATTCAAATCTGGTTGGGAAGATAAAATATCTAAAAGAAACGATCTAATATTAATTTCATTAAAATGTTCTTATCAAGTCTACCCAGCTTAACCAACATCTGTTTCGTGCCAGGCACCCTGCTAGATCTTACAGTTGTGACTTCAACTGCCCCAAAGGAGCTCACAGTTTGGCAGAAAATAAACAAACATACATTATGATACAATAGAAAAAAGAAACAACACTACAAAGGAATTATTTGCAAACCACTAGGGGAGCTCAAATGATGGCGTAAATAATTACTTTGGGGAAGATCAGGGAAGATCATAGATACGAGATTGTATTTGAACAAAGGCAGGCATCAGGCAGATATTGTTAGAAAGAGCATTATGAAGGGAGAAATGGTATGATTAAAGGCAAGGAGATGCGTAAGTGCATTGTGCTTGTCATTAAGCCATTGTCTCTCAACCCTTATCCACCCTTCTGATGGTGAGACCAGAACCCTGGAAGCTGCCTGCCAGATTCTACCCACAGGAGCACTAGCAGGAACAGAGAATAAGTGGAATGCAGATTGTGTTTCATGGCAATATTGTCCCAGCAGTATTGTCCCAGCAATGGCTCCAGAGTACAGCTTTATTCAGAACCAGTTCCACTTCACTCTTAGAAGTTCCTGCATCAGCCCAACAGGTTTGAGTCCCGGCTCCAAGAAGCCTCTACTCAGTCTTTTCAAGAGTCTAGTCAGTCATGACCTCTCTTCAGAGGTGCTGGTCCCAGGTCTGTGGGTTCTCTCATTCAAATTTTGTTTCTGGTAATGCTATCCTCTTTCCTGGAATCCCTCACCCCCATGGTGATAACTGCTTCCTGCTCACACAATAAACTATCTCAGAGTTACTTCAGTATCCTGCTCTAGTTTGTAAAGTTCTCAAACACCTGTTTAGCCATTTCCTTGAACACATTCTCTCTGTTAAAATACCTGGCATGGTTTCTATTTTCTGTCCGGAGCCTGAATGAGAGACACATGGAACACGCAAGTGAATGATGAATGGACCGGTGTGGCTGGAATGCTGGACGGGCAGAGGGAAGATGGAGACTGGAAAAGCAGATGTGGCCAGGAGGTGAAGGGTCTACATGACACCTTGTGGAGTTTAGATAACAGGCAGAGGGAAGCTGTCAAACACTTATGAGCCAGGGAGTGTGTCGAAGAGAAAAGAGGTGTGAGTTGAGACCAGAAAAAAGACAAACTAAAGGCGAGGAGTTCAGATACTGCAACAGAAGGGGTCTGGGCTAGGTTAGAACAATGGGGAAAGGAAGGAAGGGACATGTCTGAAGACAAGTTATATGAATGGGCTACATTCTAGGATCCTTCTATGATTTCTGTTTTGGGCATAAGGATAAATCATAAATAAATTTATTGAGAAAAAATATTAGGAGGTCCGAGGAGAAAATATACTTTTATGGAGGGAAGGAAATAAACTTTTTGGGAAATGCATTGGCTTTGAGGGCTCTGCATGTTCTTCCATAGGTGTTTTTCTAGTAGGTGTTTTGTTATTGGAAAAAACCACTTAATGGTTCAGGAGGTAGGTTAGCCCAGAGACACAAATGTGGAGTAGGGATGGTGGTGGTCGTTGTTACAAAAGATGAGGTTAAAGGAGAAAAAGGACAGACTCATCCTGAGAGAATATAGACCAAGCAAAAGTGAGGATTGTAGATAGAACTCTGAAGAATATCAGTGTTTAAGCCATGGAAAGAGAAAGAAAGACCATGATAAATGCTGAGAAGAAAAGATGTCAACACAATGCAGTGGTCAAATGAAGGTATGAAATTAATCATAGAAGTATTCCTGCTGTGGATGACCGGGTCCAGGAATAAGTAGACAGACAGGAAGAGGGTGAGAGGAAGGATGCTTTGCGGTGAGAAATACATAAACATTGCATGTTCTCGACTGAATCTGACATAATGGATACTTGAATAATTTGAAAAGGGATTAGACAAATTTGATGACTCGATATTTAATGGAGGCCTTTAGATGTCTGTTAAAGTAGTGCTCCTCAACATCGGATGATTTTGCCTCCTGTGGAATATTTAGCAATGTTTGGAAACGTTTTTTTGGTTGTCACAACTGGGTAAGGAGGGCATACTACTGGCCCCTCATGGGTAGATGCTAGGGATGCTGTTGACATTCTGCTATGGAAAGAACAGCCCCCTCCCAACAAAGAATGATTCTTCAATGAATGCTAAAGGTAAACTGATGAACAGCCTGAGTCTGGGTGTCACCATAGTGATGAAGATGGGCAATTGTACCTGATGTCTTTTG